GTCATGAGTTCACACATCACTTCTGTTTAACTACTGTGGTGCCTGTTGTACTGTCACCACAGTTTTACTTCTTGTTTTTGTATGTTCTAAAAATAAAGAAAAAGTACCGCTTAACTGTGTAATGACACACACACACACACGCGCACACACTTTTTTAGCTTCCTGTCAGCTCACCGAAGTAAATTTCAAAATAATGTAAAAGGATTGCACTATCCTTATTTTGTAGTTTGTTTGAGATCTAAGCATTGTGATGGAAACAATGCAGGAATTCAGTTACGACGGTTGGCCTTGTTGGCCTTGTTGGCATTGTTACGCGTCTGTAACACAAAGGAACCTTTGTCAAAGGATCTACTTTTACGTGTGTTTAAATAAGATATATTATGTCACTAAATTGTCAACAGGAAGCTGTGTAATTTCCTCCAGCATGTCTGCATCTCAGTTTGTGTGCCTTTTATAATTCATTTCTGACTTCCTTCCTCTCATCCTCCCTGCTTGGCTTAGACGATTTCTTTTCTCCTTCTTTGCTTCTCATGTTTTTCCTTTTCCTAGCCTCCCACTTACAATATGGAACACTTAATTTCACCCCCTTATTTCACTCTTTTGTCTTTGTTTCTCCCGTAGAAATGTGTGTACTGCAGGAAACGGATAAAGAGGGAAGTGAAAGGCTGCTGTGTTCAGTGCTCCCATGGGCGTTGCTCCACGGCATTTCACCCCACATGTGCTCAGGCAGCTGGTGTCCTCATGCACCCAGATGACTGGCCATTTATTGTCTTCATCACTTGCCACAGGCATAGAGCACCAGCCATACCTGAGGTAATCGTGGGGAGTCCCAGTCCGGCCAGTAATAATTTCTGAAGACACTGTCCTGTGAAGATGTGTTTAAGGTGTAAAACAGATTACCAGTGAAAGGAAACGACAAACAAATTAGCCTTTTTCTCAGCATGAGCTTACACTGCTTTTTCTGTGAATTTTGTCTTAAAATTGTTCCAGAGAAACGTTTTCAGTTCCTCACTGTAAAGAAGTGTTAGTTCCACATTATCAGCAAGCTTTAAAATGACCCTGAATAGCTTTCTGGGACTTTGATTTAAAGAGCAATTAAGTTTGATGTGCAGGTTACTGAATACTGTTAAATTAATTATTTTTTTCATGCGCTTCCAGCTGAATGTATAGAGATACTGGGTCATAATAAGAACATAATGCCATCCCATGGTCTCCTTACACCTTCAACACATCTTTTTTTCGTCTTATCCCTGTGATACATTCTAAGTTCAGGTGTAAAGTTGCAGTCTAGCAACATGTCTAAACATCGTACTGTTAGAGACACTTACTCATCACATCCTAAATCACACATCAGATTTGTTGCTGAATTGAAGAAAAATATGTACTAGGCAGTTGGAAGCTAAGCTGCTAATTTGCAGTGGTGTTTACAGTTTACAGTGATGTGCTGTGTTGGACTGGTGCAGGTGAAGCTGTGGTCATGTTTGGTTTCATTAAGGGTAGCAGACGTCAATATAAATTCAAGGTTATGATTTCGTTTAGCTTCACACATTAAATTCTACCTTTTGTACTAGCTTCATAATGTTTAGAGGGTTGGAAATCAGCCATATAGCCCTCTGCCTGTATCTTGTGGAATTTAGTTTGCTAGATCCACAAAAGAGCGGTAAATATCAGAGTAGGCGCACAGGTCAGCTGATCACAGCCTGTACACAAAGAAAATTCAGCCAGAGTGCTCAATAGAAATGATTAAATGACTTCTTTAATGTAACTCTTTGCCCCACGCTGCACCGCTGCTTAAGTGGTTCAGTCTCCAGCTCATTGTGTCCATATACCCATTAAAATAGTTGATGTTGTTTACACTACTGTTGGGAACTGTGGCATGAGTTGTGTAGCATTTAAAATTCCTCTCTTTTTTTTTTTGGTTTATGTTATCAGTTGATGAAGTGTCTTTGCAACAAGATGCTTTTATAAAGTGAGGACTGTCTTGCCTCCCGTTGTAGCTTCCAGCACAAGCTTAGTCAGCTGTGCAGCACCATAACAGCTGGAAGCTACCACAGGGATTTCTGCTTTTGCACGTTGAAGCTTTGATTCACTAACTGGAGAAGAATAAGACAATAAACCTGCTCTGACAGTCTCCTTGGTATTGTTGTGACTACCAGTTTGTGTTGGTTCTCATGTGTAGTGTTCATATCTTTTTTTGAACAATGGGGCAGGGATAGTGTTTAAACATTGCTGTAACCTGCTAATCCATTTCTCTGAGTTATCTTTATTGCACTACAGCCACTGTCTTACCCTTTATCTTGGGACTATGGGAAAAAATGTACTTTAAAGTAATAACATTTGATTAACACTCAGTATGTTTGTCTTCCACAGCGCAGCAAAGCTGCCATGCAGGAACTGGTAGTGGGCCAAAAGGTGATCTGTAAATACAAGAATGGCCGTTACTACCAGAGCGAATTGCTGGAGCTAACCACGGCTACGTTTTATGAAGTGGTGTTTGACGACGGCTCATTCAGCGACAACCTCTTCCCTGAGGATATTGAGGTTAATAAACCTCTCAGATAGCTAAAGCTGATCTCAAATTTTCCATTTCTAAATGCCCTCCCTTTTCAGATGGCCTGAGGTCAATATTTGTTTAAATGTGTTTGTAGAACCGGGACTGCGTCCGCCTCGGCCCACCTGCCAAAGGTGACGCTGTTCAAGTTCGATGGACAGATGGGTTGATATATGGAGCCAAGTTTGTAGCTTCCCACTCCATCCCCATGTACCTGGTAAACATGCATTTATCCCTCTGATCCTCATCAGCTTCAACTCTGTTTGATTAGACTCCATCAACACATAAAATGCTGGGTTAGGATGATTGTAAAGTCTTGGTTGTCTGGTTTAAAAATTAACATTTTGTCATGTTAAACAGATGGTTGCTAACCAGTTTGTAATACTTTAAGATGAAGGGTCTTTATCAGTCATGTTTTTTAAGCTCTAAACAGAAAATAGGAGCCTTTATGCGAGTGTTGATGGTAGATCAGTTTGTCGCATTCTCATGAATCCAGTGTGTTTGAATATCTTTAAAGAATTTCTTGGCACAAAGAAGAATCACATAAAAATTTGTCAAGCTTAATGTAGATAAAATTTTTTTCTTTAATACAATTATACTTTTAAAACAAGAATTAATGTGGTCGTGATGAGAAAAATTCACTTTAATATCCAACAGGATAAAATATCAGAGTGAGGACATTTAATGCCTGAGGGAGGTGAACTTTCCTTTTACATCAGTCAGGAGCAGAGTCAGACATTTCACTTTTTGTTACACTTACTTGATGATGTTAATCTTTGTTGCCCTAGGTGGGAATAAATGGGAATTCTACTCTGGCTATGAAGAAAATGATTATGTGACACATACAATACAGTATGAGGAGTAGAAATATTCAAATACGCTTTAATTTAAGCACTTCCTCTGTGTGTGTGCGTGTGTGTGTGTGTGTGTGCGTGTGCGTGTGCGTGTGCGCGTGCGTGTGTGTAGGTGGAATTTGAGGATGGCTCGCAAATCTCTGTCAAGCGGGAAGACATCTACACTCTAGATGAGGATCTGCCTAAACGGGTCAAGTCAAGGATGGTGAGCTAAAAATCTCAATGCTTTATGTTATGTGGAAATAAATCTGACTCCAGTTGTTGGGATGCTGTGTAAAATGTAACTAAAAACAGTGGAATGAATAACTTAAACTCGTATTTTATTTACAATAGAACATAGAAAGCACACACGCCCAAGCCTCAACTCTCGCGGCCTGGTACTAAACGACTCATGGACCAGTATGGCCCGGGGGTTGGGAACCGCTTATCTACGGTACATAATACCAACAGATTCAGGGAATCTGGAGAAATGGTCTTCAGACCTTTTCCCAATTTCCAGGAGAAAAGGTTCAAAATCAGTATTGGATGCCTGGGATCTTCAGACCGTCAGGCAGCACTGCATTAAAATCACTCCATGGGCTCAGGAAAACTTCCAGAAATCACTGTCTGTGAACACTGTTGACCGTGCCATCCACAAATGCAGGTTATAGCAAAAGAAGCCATCATTACTGCTCTCTTCTCTGAGCCAGAGCTCATTTAAAATTGGCTGACACATACTGGGAAACAGTTCTGTGGTTAAAATTTGAAATTCTTTTTGGAAAACATGAACATTACACCCTCCAGACTGAAGAGGAGCTTATAATCAGCACTCCGCTGGTATGGGAGGTGCATAAGTGCCCGTGGAATTGACAGTTTGCATATTTGGAAAGGTCGGGTGACAACTGAAAGGTATTACAGGTGTTAGAGCAACATGTGCCCCATCCAGATGACACCTTTTCAGGGAAGACTTTGTATATTTCCACTAAATAATGCAAATCCACGTACTGCAGCTATTGCAACAGCGTGGTTTCATACATAAAGATTCTGGCCTTCACCAACTGAAAACATTGAGTATCATGAAGTGAAAAGTTCAACAAAGAGCCGAGACTGTTGAGCAACTAGAATCCTTTGTCAGACAAGAACAGGACAGCAGTCAGTTCTCCAAGTGTAGACTGTTGGTAATTTATGTGGGGACGATTAATCTTTAACTATTTATCTGTTCTGTTATGAGTAATAACGGGTTTATGAGCTTTGCAGAACTTTGCAGTCTGCTTTTATTACCTCTCAGCTCTAAAAGGCTAATAGGGTATTGTCATCACCCTGCTTGGTGGATGACATGGACACCAAACTTTGTGAACACGATAGCTTGAGAATGAGGTGACGTAGGATTTTCAAATTGGTCCCATAGGTGCATCTACTTTGAAGGCTGCAGGGTGGGACTGGTGACCGTATTCTTTTTTACTTCTTTTCTACACAGCTAGCCAACTTTGTTGTGCAATTGCAGCTGTATGTTTGCATCACAACTGTAGAACTAAGCAGTAACTTTTGTATGTCCTTTTTGGTTTTCAGTCGGTGGCATCAGACATGCGTTTTGAGCTCTTCGCGCAAAACGATGTCAAGCAGAACACCAAAAGGCAGCGGGTCATCAATTCTCGATATAGAGAGGACTACATTGAGCCGGTCGTCTATCGAGCCATCATGGAGTGACATCCTTTTCTTTCTGAGGGTACTGCTTAAAGGATTGACCGCCCCTCCTGCTCTTCCACGGCCTGTCAGGCTCCATATTTATAAACTACGGCTGGGACTTTAACTGACTCTTGTGTGCTTTGAATAATATTCATCGACATTCATGTCCCATTGCAGTCTGGAGATTGTTTGCTTTCCCCCATTTCATCGTTTTTTTCTTTCCTTCAGGAAGAAGCCATTAATGAATTAAATGTGAAAAAGATTTGATATTTTCTTTGTTCTCTGCCACCCTGATTAGCAACTGTTGACTAAAAAACTACATGTTCTACAGCAGAAACATATTTCTCATTTAAATCACAATTCACTGATTCAGACTGATGTTTTCACAATTTTTGCCATACAGAAACTTGTTGATGGAGGTTTTCTCAACTCTGTTTTCTCCACTGATGCAGACACACTGTAGCCGTTGACTGTTGACAGTTATGAAGAATTGTGTCAAATCATAAACCCCAAAGAACTAAAATTCTCTGTCACTGTTTTAACAACGGTTGATCTTGTTGCTTATTGCGTTACATTTTGTGGTTGAGAAATACGTATACGAGTATGTAGTTCACCCATACATAGTTGTCATTGTGCATCTACTGTGAAGACAGAGGACGTTTGACATGTTTTACAGGCCCAAGCCTTACACTTCAGAGGGCCTACAACACCTTGGTTTATTATAATTATTGTAATTAATGTTATTACTATACTTTTATTTATGCAAGTGCATCAAGTTTGAAAACAAAGCTATTTTTGTCATGTCCTTTTCACAGTCTGTAGAAAACCTCAGATGTATTTATATTTATTATATTGACTGGTTTTCAGACATGCTGTTTAAACTGAGGCTCGCGTTTGCTCTGCAGTGAATTCGGGAGGTAAAGATTATTATTGCTAAAGTTGTTCAAATAGCTTATTGTTATCTTCTTTCTGAGCATTTTTTTTGGTGTTTTTTATTTTATTTTTTTATTTTCGTTTTGTTTTCGACTTATTGCCTCAACCAAGTGGAGTTTTTGTGTTTCTGATAAATGCTAGCTTTAGAGATTGTAGTTTCAGATGATAGTTCAATCCCTGATGACAACAAACTCCACGACAGCTCATTTTTGGATTTAAGTGAGTTTGCTTTCATTTGCAGTTCCTTGAACCTGCTTTAAAACAGACTTGTGCAGAGAATTACGAACCTCTGTAGGATAACCTTTGCAGATACCTTTTAGCTATGATCTTGGCTACTGTTGGGTTTCCTTTGGGTCTGTCTCCACAGCAGCATTAAGTCTGTGCACTCTTTGTAAACACCAACTGTTTGAGTAAAGTTTTGAATACGAAAAATACCCTTGTGTAATTTATTTTCTCTACAAAATCCTGGTATGTACTAGCATGTAGCAACTATAAATCAAACTTTTCTTTCTTTAAAGGAAAACAGAAAATCATTACATGAATAAGTCTGCTCTGCTTGGCTTGCCCACTCCTGCTGTCAGATAGTGGTAATAGCTGTATTCAAAATGCAAAATATATGTATACATCTCTGTAAGTTAAATCATATCACATGTTAGAAAAATTTAACAACCGGTACCAGCACTGGGGTAAATATATGTACAGATAGATAATTATATTTGCATATATCTTCTCGGACAACATAAATAATCACACTATAGTTAACAATAAGCTGTGAGTTGACTGTAAGTGAAGTGTTAATTTTAGTAAGGCAAAGACCCTACAATAATACAGAGAAAATAATTACATGACCCCCCCTATGAGCAAGCACTTGGTGATAGTGGGAAGGAAAAACTCCCTTTTAACAGAAACCTCCCAAAACCAGACTCGGGGAGAGGCAGCCAATCTGTGGTGACCAGTTGGAGGTGAGGGGAGGGAAACAGGACAAAACATAGACTGTAGAAGGGAGCCGGAGATTAGTAATAACTAATGATTAAATGCAAAGTGGTGTAAACACATAGTGAGTGAAAAGAGGTGAGAGAAGGAGTAACACTTAGTGCATTAGCACCTTAGGCCTACTGCAGCATAACTAAAGGAGGATTCAGAGTCACCTGATCCAGCCCATGTAAGGAAAAGGATTTAACAGAGAGCCAATGAAGGGAAGCCAGTCTGAGAGAAATATGAATCTCTCTTTCGGTCCCCGTCAGTACTCTCGCTACAGCATTTTGTGATCAACAGAAGGCTTTTTAGGGAGTTTTTAGAACAACCTGCAATAGTCCAGCCTAGAAGTGATAAATACACAAACTAGCTTTTTAGCATCACATGACAGGATGTTTCTAATTTTAGAGATAATGATCAAATGCAAGAAAACAGTACATTTTTGTTTAATATGTGCACTGAAACATGTGCCTAGTCAAAAATAACTCCCAAGATTCCTTACAGGGTTACTGAATGCCAAGGTAATGCCATCTGGAGTAAGCACCTGGTTGGACATCATGTGTCTACGATGTTTTTAGGGCTGAGTACAATAACCTCAGCTTTATCTCGATTTAGATGCAGGAAGTTAGAGTGCAAACTAGAACTCAGACATAGCTTATAAAATCAACAAGTGTTCAAAAAAACTGATTTTTTTAAAAGAAAATACAAATCCTATAAAGTACGAACCCGTGCTGCTCATCTGTTATCTGCATTGTGAAATTTCATAGTTAACTTTGTCAGTCACCAACATTAAAGATCCTTTACCTAAACTGGTTGCTCAGTAAAGGGTGCCCAAGGTCTTTGAATCTCTTTTATAATCTACGATTCACTGCCACTGACACACTGCACCCCAGACCAGGCACAACACATCAGATGTATTGAACTGCCTGAGAGAATCTGATGCAACTGCATAGTAGAGCATACAATTTTTTTTTAATTGCTTCATTTTTTCTACTCCCAGCATACGTCATTTTGTTCACCACAGTCCCCACAAGAAGAAGAATCTATGTGGATTTAATGCTACTGAACCTTTTCCTATAAATAACTGAAACACCTGGGAAATATTAGCAAATGGTTTATAAAATACTAATATAGAGCTGTACTACCTGTGTTTCTATGTACAATTTTGTACATGTCTGTAATAGTACCCAGACACGTCTTCAAGTTTTCATGAACACACCTGATGACACAGGCTGGTGTGTATTAGCAGAATACCTTGGCACACAAAGCTGAGTACCTACCCTGCTGTGACACAGACATACCCTAAGGTTTCCATCACATGTTTCTGGGAATTTTATAGTCTGATTCAGCGTTTGGTTTACTTACTAATCAAGGAGTACTATTTGACTTCTTGTTAGGTGAATTCCTGATGACGTGAGTGAGACCATAAAACTCCGCTTACGTTTCAATGAAAGACGGGCAAGATGTGGTTATCCACGTATAGGCTGAATACCAACATCCTGCCTATTTCACTTTTGTGCTGTGCTTTCCCTACTGTTTTTTTCTCTAAAAGACACGTAACAAGAAACCCCTCTTTGGTTTCAGGACTTTCTGAGGTGGCACCTTTGGTTTTGTTACATCATACTCATGCATCGCTTTCTATCGTCATGAAGGAAGTCAAGATAATCATGGCTTCCTCTGTTGTATTGCTTCTTTTCTAAATTAATGATTTCCAAATCTTTCTGTTTGCACCAGGGTGAAATTATTTCCAGATCATCAGAAACACTATTTATTGCTGGAATCTATGGTAAGCTACCTGGTAATAGCATTGTCATACTATACCTGGTAAAATATTTGTCATTCATTGTTCCCAGATACACAATCCTGATAACAAGATACTTTGTCTTTTCCGCTAGCTAAGGGGAAGGGGTGTCGAAGGGTGTCCGATTTGACCCAGAGGATTTCTTTTCAAAAAATGTTTTTCACTATTTCTTTTGATTTTTGATTTTTTGTTGTCAAGGGGAAAAAACGATTTGACAAAAATTTTCAGTTTTATAATTACAAGACAGTCTGTCTTGAAAAAGTTATTTCTTACAATTCAAGCCCAAAAAGTCATGCTCACAGCTTGTTTTTGTTTTGTTTGTTTGTTTTTTGTTTAAATCACTACAACAGTATTTCTTTATCATGTAGAAAAACTGAGATGTACAGTTGAAATTGCACATCTTGGGTTTTCTGGTAAGCTATTTCACAGATTAAATATGTGGTCAAACTTCTTTACAATAAAAGAGAGGGGAACTTTGCTGGCCACACCTTGACGTCACAGTTGCGATTTGGTGCCAAATAAAAGAAGACGGATTTCGTCTGATCCATGTAATCTCAGAGTTAACACTGAGGTTTCTGTTGTAGAAACGTGGTTCACGTATAACGCCATGGTAACTTATGCTAGCTGACAACACAACTAATGCTTATGTAACTTACTCACTATTCCTGGGAAACGTCTCAAACCTGTGTAACCAGATTATTCCAATCGGGTAAACAGGGGATTGATTGTCACACTTTTGCCTCTATGTTGTGCTGTGTGTTGTCTTCCTTTATTGCAATAATTGCATAATTGCAACAAAAAAGTAATTAACTATCAATAAGACTCATAGACAACTAAAGGTAGTTATCAATGGGTTTAAAAAGTAGTAAACATCAGTAAGGTTTGTAATAGACACCACCTAATGCCTAGTGTATTTAACACCAGCGATCATTTTTGTGAATGATTCTACATGTGAGCAGTGAAATTCAGGACTTTACATGGTAAATGGTAAATGGTCTGTATTTGTATAGCGCTTTTTTCCCAGTCCCTAAGGACCCCAAAGCGCTTTACATATCCAGTCATCCACCCATTCACACACACATTCACACACTGGTGATGGTAAGCTACATTGTAGCCACAGCCACCCTGGGGCGCACTGACGGAGGCGAGGCTGCCGGACGCTGGCACCACCAGTAGGCAACGGGTGAAGTGTCTTGCCCAAGGACACAACGACCGAGACTGTCCAAGCCGGGTTCGAACCCGCAACCTTCCGATTACAAGGCAAACTCCCAACTCTTGAGCCACGATCGTCCCATACTTTAATAATGTAGCCTGTTTTAAAGCCATAAAACAAGTGAGATTCCCATGACTGTATTTTGAACTGAGTTACTGATGTCATTGAAGGCCAGAATTTCACTGTATCTTTTACTATTTTCCAACAAGTAATTCGTGCAGTAGTGAGCAAGTCTATGTAAACACGTGAGAAGAAAAATGAACTACAGTCATATCAACCTGACTCTGAACTGTCAGTTTGAAAGTCTCTGGGATCTTCCTTTTTAAAGGTTGCTAGCCTTGATTTAGCAACCCTCTAACTTATTCACAGTAACACACATCACTTATGACAAATGTATAACCTTGGATTGCCAGCAGTAGGGTAGACTGGAGTTGGTCATCACAAAATGTCAACGTGTCATTGATGGTTCATTACTTTTTGTTAAAAAAAGGAAACCAATCGTATGGCAGCACCTTAAACCTCGATTTAATGAAGCAGTGGTTGTTGAAAGACCCTTCACTGATCAGCAATTCATGCAAGAGTACAGTGTGAGAACCAAACTTGCTCTATCCTACTATTTCTGAGATCAGTTTTGGCAAATAACACATGAAGCCATATTTCCTTTGTCAGAAGAGCAATGCTTTTAGATTACCTAGATGCAAAAACATTTCTTATACTTGAGATTTGTGTAGTCCTTTTTACTTGAACTGCAATTACACAGAGCACACCAAAAATACAATGTTCAAATTAATTTCACTTGTATCTGCCGGCATACCAAAGCTATTTTCACATCTCCTTTATCAGGCTGTGGGACTGTAAGCTTTCATTTTTAAATGAAACCGGTTTACTGTCACCTAAGAAATAAAAAACAGCTCTGAGAGCGCACTCAGTGATTAAACTAATCTTGAATAAGGTTGTGACTACAGTTCTGTGTGCTAAATCACGATATAGATTTATTTATTTATTTTAATTGCAGGATTAATTGTGTGTCCTTTTTGCAAATGTTTTTTAATTTATTTTAGATTTTTAATCATCGTGTCTGATAAAGTCTCTGGAGTAGGGGGCATTGATAACAATAATTCTGTGAAAGAAGAGTCACGTGACATGTGAAATTTCCCTTTTAGATGAGTCAAATGCTGCTAACACAATGTCTTTCATGAAAAGGAAACACTGAGTTAACTTGGTTGATTTATGTAACTGCTTATCTCAGCTGTAAATGTTGGGATAAGTGAATCCAGATAGCAGAAAGGTATTCTGGTTGAACTTGCTTTGTGGTGTAGGGATCAGATCGGAGCTCTATTTTTAACATAAAATGGTTTGTCTTTAAATGGTTGACTTACTCTACATAGCGTAAGTATGATTGATTATGAGATAACGACACACTTTAGATTTAGTT